TTTTTTTTTTTTTTTTTTTTTTTCTCAGCTCCTTGCTGAACACAGCTGGGGACAATCAATACACAAGATGTGCTAACATTCGGTTTACCCTTCCAGCCCCAGCCCAGGCTCAGTAGGTGCGCAGTCTGCCTTCCCAGCACCATCTGCAGTACTGCCAACACCAGGGCCACCAGCTTCCAGGCTCAGCCCCTTGCCCTCTGCCACCTGCCCTCTCAGCCAGGACCTCATGTCCAGTTTTTATTAGGAAGGCATTACATACAAGGTACCAATTCCTGCCTTAGGTAGGGAAATGCTAACAGTGGTGTAAACTCAAAACTATCAATAGCTTTATCACAATATAAGTTTATTTCTTGCTCAACTAAAGTCAAACAGGCAGTAAAGTCCAAAGAGAAAGGCACTGTTCCACAGTCATTGAGAGATCCAAGTAGGTGGAAATTTTGCCACATGTATCAAAGGGCCACCAAGGCAGCCCTCAAATCTCCCCTAGCAGGCATGGGTGTGGAGAAGAGCAGAGGGTTCTCAGGGGCTTACCTGAGCCTGGCCTGAGGAGGTGGTATTGGGTCTTCTTGTTTCTCTTAAGCAAGACTTAGTCACATAACTGCACCCTGCCTAAAGGGAGCCTGGGAAACATAGGAAAGGCTTTGGTGGACAGCTCCCCTGTCTGCAAATCCTCGGGCCAGTCAGGGACCCTGATTCTCCCGAGCTACAGAGCTGAGGGACAGAAAGAGCAGAGTCATCTGATGCCACCTCACATCTAGCTAGGACTGCCAGCCGGCAGTGGGCTAAAAACTCCAGAGAAAAAATCTCAAGACGTGTTCATCCTGAAGGTTCCACATATACAGCCTCGTCCAGCTAGCAGGGAGAGGGACAAGATACAGGTGACAGGTTCCTGGGGACCTGCAGGTCAGAGGGGCTGCACCGGGTCACCTGAGAGCCTTCCCACCAGACCACTCCAGCCCCTCCTAGGCAGCTGCAGGTGGCAAGGCTGTCCATGACATGACACCAACAAGGGCTAATCCCGGGACCCCAGGGACCCTGCTGAGGGCCCCACAGCAACAAGACAAGAACAAGGAGGGAAGCAGTGTCCCCAGTACTGGCAGAGGCCTTTGAGAGCAGATCTCCTAGGGAAAACAGAGGTGAAATAATCCCACCCAGGCTCAAAACTGAGGCTGAACAAGACTGAGAAGAGCAGTTGCCGGGGACAATGCCACGGGAGGAACTCGGTGGGCACTGGCAACCAGGGACAACCAGGAGCACTCCGAGGCACCCCTCAGGTCTCCCAGAAAAGCTAGAAAGTAGGAAAAAATCAAATGACCCCTTCTGTGGCCCAAACAGGGTGGCCAAATGCACTAAAATATCTCCCTGATGAGTTCCAGGGGGCATTTGGGTTATATTTGTAAATAAAAAGGCCATTACTGATCCAAACTGAATTTTAAGTTTGAAAAACTTTAGTATCAGGGAAAACCATGAAATGTGTTTAATTTGTTAAGTCAACCTGAAGTACGTAAGGTTCCCAACACATGAACAGGCTTGGTTTAAAAATCTTAGTTTCGGACTTCCTTTTTCTGAGCAAACCTCCTGTACTGACCATAGGCCACCTGGCAGGAACAACTTCTGCCTCCACCTAAAACCTCCAGGAACCACCCGCTCCAGGCTCCCCGGTACTCAGCCCACGTGAAGGATGGGCTCCGGTCGATCGCTCTCTAAGGCCTGGAACTTTGGGAGGTAAACAGCCAGAACTGGCCATCAGGAGCCTGTTTTTCTGGTCTGGGGCTCACCTGGCACCTGGCTGCCACACCCCTGAGCAGTCTACCCTCAGAGTTAACAGGGCGCTGTCAGTGCTCGGTGACAGCTGAGTTTGACTTCTTTTCACTCCAGTGCAGCACCCAGGCCTGAGTAGAATTAATCCTTTTATCTACCAATAAAAGAGAATTACGGGCATTTTACACCTCAGCTCTCTTTGAAGAGCCATCTGTAGAAGCTGGAGGTTTGCATTTCCTGGAGTGGTCAGATTAAAGGCGCTTTTCACTGAACTTCCTGGGAGATCAGAGCAGGTGGCTGACTGTATCGTCGTCACCCAGTTGCCCTGTGGAAAGTATTTCCAGTTTCCATTTTAATCAGATTTTGCAGCACAAATGTCATTCTCAAAATCCTTTCTGAAAGATCAACTAAGTCTCCGGAGCCACACTGTTGGGGGCCAGCTGTCACCTAGGACCAGCAGTGGGGCGCTCTGAACGGCCCCACGGGTACCGTCCCACCCGCAGTCTTCCGCCATCTACTGATAACGGCACAGTAGCAGAGAGGACCCAAGGCGGCAGTACCTTCTGTTTTCCCCATAAAGAGCTCAGATTCCACCTGCAACTGTGACAACTTCATTCATCCCAACTGCCAAGGTAACCGCTATCCCAGCGCGGAGCTGGGCCCCTTGAACATGTTTTCTATGAAAAGTTGAAGTAACGCTGCATGTTGGAGGTTTTATGTTTTAGCTTCCAGTGGGCTGAGGCTGGGACAGGAAGCCACTTGCCCACGCACACACAGCTACTCGTGGGAAGAGCTGGAAGGTATATTCGGGTCTGATCCTGGAGCCTGGGTCCTTCCCAAAACACGCCCTGGAAATCAGCCTTCCCTCTACTCATCAGCAAGCGGAACTGTGTCACCACTGGGGAGGTGTCCTGAGGCTGACCTCGCCCCACCGCCCCACTGGATGAGCCGCGCCTCCACATGGTGGCAACCGAGCACACGCAGGCACAGCCAAGGCCCCTGGACAGCACAGTCGCTACGTATGAGAACTTTTCCTGTAAATGCTTCTCAAGAATCTTCTTCCATACAGTGCGAGCCTCTGTGGCGCTGGACCATGCAAGGAACAACTTACAGCCTGCAGTACTATGACAAGGAGATCTTACCACGCATACATTCCTCGAGAAATAAGAATCGACTGCTAGTAAGATTTTAGTTCTTTTTACCTAAGTTTCTCCATTTCTGTTACCAGAATAGGCTGGCCTCCATAACGAGGAGCTCACAATGCAAAGCGCCCCAAATCTCCCATGGCCTGCTGCAGCTGCCTGAGTCCAGCCCAGGCCCCTCAAAGACCCTCAAGGTCTTCCGGAGTGTCCCGGTCCCCGTGCTCACACCCACCTGCTGGAAGGTGGAGTCAGACGCAAGGAGCACACCCCCGCACTCTCCTGCCAGGGCCAGAGTCACACCCACATGGCGAAACCCCTCTCTTGCTTTTCCAAGTTTACCCGAGCCCTCTCCCAGGCAGCCTCCTGCGCAGAACCAGTCTCGGAGCATGGGAGGGTGTGTGATCTTCCTAGACGGAGGGGCGGGAACTCTAGTCCTGTTCTGTCTCTAGCTCCTAGCGCATACACTGCCTATCGGATCAGGCTGGGTTCGATTGGAGACGGGATTGAATGAATAGAGCAAAAGCAAACCTCTGATCTGTTTCTATGGAGATTACAATAAACTTCAAATATGAAATCCAAACAGTGCAGTGGGAACAACTGAGCGCTGCCTTTGGCCTGTCCAGTGCACTGCTGCCCTTCCCCCGCCCCAGGTAGGCATGGGAACGCCCACAGAGGTCAACTCAGGGGCGCCCAGTGGGTGGCGCTGGGGACAGATGTCCTCTGGTCCATTCTGCCACTGTGGTGTGTTCAGGGCAGGTCTGTGCCCGTGTGGGTGTCACAGGAGCTGGCCCCCGCCTGGCAGTGAAGACTTCCTCAGAGGCAAGCAGCTCCACGGCCCGTACTGCTGCCCAGATTGGCCATCTCAATACTGCTTTCATTAATTAAGTCAGCCTTAGTTTTCCTACTGCTTCTCCACTCTGACACTGTGCTTACTGACTCTGCCAGCAAATATTTATTAATCACTTGATATGATTGAAGGCTACAAGAGTGGCAAAAACAAACTCCTGTGCTCATCCAGCCTATATTCCAGTGGATTCCTGCAAATATTTTGCCATCAGATGACAGGCCACACATGACTGAAGTCATATCCAGGCTCAGACGGGGGGCAGTTTTGTGATCTCCTGGCTTGTGCTTTGCCTGGGAGAGTTTTGGTGTTAGATGAGTGAATTGGTCTGGGGCAACCAGTCTAGAAAAATGACTTCGTCCAGGTTGCAGAAGCAGCCCTGTAGGTATTTCGGCATAGCTTGGGGCCTTGGGCTCTGTGGTCACGCGGTCCAATTCCAGCGGAGCTGGCTCTGGCCATCTGACCATGTCCCCAGATAGTCTGGCTGTACTGGCAAACCTGTCAACCTGGTTAGCTTGGGAGCCACCTAGAAGATTAGTAAAGCACACTTCTGGGTGTGCCTGGTGGGTTGTGTGGCTGTGACCTTGGGGACTACACGTGGTCCCCTGCTGTGCCCCTGGCCACCGTGAGGTGAGCAGCAGCTTCCTCCAGCAGGCCCTTTCCCCATGATGCTTTTGCAGTGGACCAGCCAACCACAGCTGAAACCCTCGGAAATCACAAGCCAAGTTAACCTCTCTTCCTTTAAATTGTGGTTGGTGTCGGGTATTGCATCCCCCATGATGAAAAGCTGATGAATACCCTGGGCATCCTGCAGATCTGCACATTGTACTAAGCTGCAGGGCGAGCAGTTTCCAGCAACCAGCCTGAGCCATCCTTGCTGTGACAAATGTCCCAGGAGGATGTAGGCACACAGGATGCCACACGTCTTTCCCATGTGAAGGCCGCAAATCTATCATGCGTTATTTCTGTTGGCAGAAACCAAATTTGTCATATCTTAAACTGTTCATTTTGCAAACCCCCCCCATTTTATGTACAGATGGGAAACTGTACACCAGCTACAACCGCGGGCTCATCTCAAAGGCAGAAGTCAAGGCCATCAAATACAGCGTTGTCATGGTTCTCGGTAAGCAGCGTCCGGCCCTCCTGGTGCTGCAACTGAGGCACCTTCCAAAGCAAACTGCTGGCGAGGCCACAGGATGGGGGTCTGTGCACTTCCTCCTTAGTCTGCTGGGAGGGAATGTGTGGGACTCAAAAGCCATCTGTGGCTTCTCCAAGGGAAGACGTTTGGGTCCTAGTCTCTAGCCATGCTCCAGGGCATGGATTGGATAATTTGGGGAAATCAGATTAGGACCCAAGTAACTGAGGCTGAGCTCAGATCACCCTGCTGTTCCCGTTGCCTCTTGAACACGTACTCTCCGCGGGGCTGACGCTCACAAGCGAGGAACAACGGAAGTGAGTTCCACTGGTCCAGGACATTTATGCTCAGCATCACTCCTAATCCTCCCTCCTCCTTCTCCACCCCTCCCCCTCCCTGTCTTCCGCCCTCTCCTCTTCCTTTCTCTCTGTTCTTAACACCCACAAAAGTCACCCTGCACTCTTCCCAACCGAAACGCTCCACTCACGGGGGATGACAGCTACCTTGTTTTTCCCCAACAGTGGCATCTTCTTCAGGCACCCTTGACAGTGGGAAGATCTAGTTACCCAGCTGTGTGTCTCTTCACGGTTCCTATTTCCACCTCATTCTATCTATCATCTACCTTCTATCCATCACCTATTTCCCACCTATCTGTACCTGTCCTCTGTCTTCTTATTACAGTATGTCCCTGTCCCTCTTATTACCTGTCTGCCCTGCTGGAGCTGTAATCCATGAGGACCCTGTTGCTTTGCTCTTAATTACGTGTGATCACCAAGGCCTGAATGAGGGTCCCATGCACACCACTCAATTAATATTTTCTGAATAAGCCAGTGAATGAGGGGATGCAAGAAGGAAACAGATCTCTGCTTCCTTCTCTCTATTTAGCTGAAATGCCCCATCCCTGCACCTCTGGCAGCTCTTAGAAGCCCCAAGAAAGCTGCCAAATTGCCAGAACAGCCTGCCTCCCTGCTCTAAAGCACAGCTGCACAGTGCCAAACAGATGCAGTGGGTTCAGCCCTGGAGTCCAGGCACAGACCCAACACAGGCAGAGCAGGGCAGAGCGGCATGACTCTCCAGGGCTCTGGGAGGTGGTTCTCAAAGACTCCCTGCCTTCCAAATCAGAAGTGCAGATTCACACCCTGGATGCTTAGTGGAGAAGTGTGTGCTTACACTCGTGTTCCTGTGTAAGCAGGAGCCACAGTCCCAGCCCTGTGACATCCTTCCGAGTGCAGCAGGGATGCCCACCAGAGGCTCAGCACATGTGGACAGACCAAAGTGGCTCTTTCTAGGACAAATAGTTTGCAGTGGGCTTTTACTGTCCTCCAGTGTCATGCACGTGTGATACTGCCCACCTGCCCGTGTTCTTTAGAACCAACACATTGTCCCAACAATTATCTAACTTGAGAACGGAAATCATTATATAACAATACCGATTGCGATGTGCTATTATAGGAGGACCTGCTGCACTAGCAGAGTAATAAATTAAGCTGACGTCTACACATAGCCACAGTAACAGCTACATGTGGAGGCCAACACAGGTGTGTTTTCATGGAGACATTAAAAGCATAAGCAGTCTCATTGGCAGTGACTTGATTTTCTCAGCAGGTGAGCAAACCCTGGGACAGCTCCAAATTAAACAAAGTAATCTTTCCTCTGTTTACAAGGGAATTGCATTTCTGAAAAATTCAGCGTTTCTGAAAAATATCTGCAACATATTCAGCTGGGCATTGAACAATGGGATGTGGCTGAACTTTGCTGGCTGGAGTGCCATATCCTGTAGCGCGAAGAACTGGCATCCCTCAACCCAACATGCGTGTGCGCACACACATACCACATGAACACAGAAGGCATTTCCATACCTGATGCCCCAGCACCGGTCTTCCGAGACAACATTGGGGTTCACCACACAGGGTCCAGAGTGACTGCTGGTTTTCTGCTGGAATGGCTCCCTTCTTCTGACACATTGCCACCACCTAGAGCCAAAACATCATGGGTTAATTCCTCATTCTAAAACACCCAGCAAGCTACAATACCTCTCCGGCGATTTGTGGGGGGGGAGTCTCTTCATGCACATGGTCAAGGAAGCCGAATGTCTCCTACTCTGAGAAAAGAATCTTGTAAGGGTAGGGAAAGTAGTGAAGATGTCGCAAGAGAGCTGGGGAGTGTGCGTGTGTGTGCGTGTGGTCACCCACAAGCATGTGGCCCTGTGTCAGTCTGCTGTCTGGGGAAACGGGGGTGTGGATTGACAGACCCATGTGACAGATCGATGGACGATAGGTAGGTGATGGGTGCATGGGATGATGGAAAGATAGACAGATCTGACGTATTATGAGAAACTGGTTCTTCTTATGGAGGTGAGAAGTCTCAAGCCCTACACTGGGTGAGCAGAAGACCCTGGAGAGATGGTGGCATAAGTTCTAGTCCAAGTCAGAGTTAAAAGGCCTGGAAGCGGAAGACCTGACAGTGCAGGCTCCATCTGCCACAGCATGGAGGAGAGGCCAGCTCAGGCATCCAAGTGGCGCTATCCTACTTGGGCTTTCAGCAGACTGCATGGGGCCCGTCTGCTTCCCTTAGCCTACTGAGTCATCTCAGCCAGAAACAGCTTCATAAATGCACCCAGAGTAGCGTTTAACCAGATACTCGGGGCCTAGGCCAGTTGATCTATAAAACTAGTGCTCACTCTATGAACTCCCACATCCAACCATTTCCTCTGAGGTGTTAGAGGCTAACAGAATCTAGGGGCTCACAAACACCAAGCACCTGGACAAGGATATTGGATGGCTGTTTTCTGGAGAGGCAACTGGAGATGGAAAGGAAAATCAAGAACATTATGGTTAAACAGAGCTGTGCTTTAAAAATATTAGGATTGCTCTTCCCCCTGCTACTCCCTAAAACTAGGAGTACTGGTCAAATGCCCTGGTTCTGTCTGCCCCAGAGAGTCTCCAAGGAACTTTGCTGAGATTCCTGCAGCACATGCTAGATGGGCAGACCCACCTGTGGTCCTGCGTTCCTGACGTTTCAACACCAAGTCCACAGCAGTAGAGATCAACCCCCTCTACTGATAGAGCAGATCCAGGAGCGCTGCTCTGTCTGGCAGTGCTGTCTGTAGGGTGTGTGCACAGATGCAGGTATCACTGTATGCGTTTACGCAGACACGACACTAGTGCTGACCCACACAATCGCTCTGGCTGTTCCCTGCCCGACATTTCTGCAGGCCCAGGACCAGTGAACACCCCGCAGAAACCCAGTTGGGGCCGACCGAGGCCCCCAGCCATAGCTGCTGTATGCTAATGCTCTCTTCTCCCCAGCTTTTGTCATCTGCTGGAGCACATACTTCTTGTTTGACATTTTGGACAACTTTGACCTCCTTCCAGACACCGAGGAATGTTTCTATGCTTCTGTGATCATCCAGAACCTGCCTGCCCTGAATAGCGCCATCAACCCCCTTGTCTACTGCGTGTGCAGCAGCTCCGGCCGCTTCCCCTGCAGGTAGAGCTGCACTTGCTGCACCAGATACTGGTGTGCTCTTCTCTCCCAAGCACCTCACCCCACAGCTGAGACACCCATGTCATAAAGGCCCCCAGTGTGACAAATTCAAACTCACACCTGGGCCACCGCCCTCTCCCGCATCGCATCCTATTTCGCTGTAGAAGGCCTTGATGTACTCAAAGCTTTTCCATGTGAACGGCTGCAGTACTGGAGGCTTTCGCCACACTACAGATTTAAAAATTATAAGATTCTGTGACATCATGAGGAGATATGAGTAATCAAGAGCAGAGCTGAAATGAAAGCGACCTGCCTTCCTCCCCATGCTGCAGGGAGTAAGTGGACAAACCGTGGGAGACAGAATAGCGGGTTCCAAGGCTGAGCTTCCAATCCTGCCATTGCTGGTCACAGCTCTGTGCGACCTTGGGCAGCTTACGTCACTCTCACGAACCCATTTCCTTACGTAAATGGGGCTGTGTCCACTCTCAGCCAGAAAGTCCCCGTCCTCTGAGCTCCACTCCAGGAAGGAAGGCCTGGTGGTGCAGGAGGAAGGGTGGCTGTTCTGTGGGACTTGTCAGCAGCTGCCTGATCTTTAACAGTTCCTCCTGTAATGCTATCACTTAGCATCTCTCCTTGCCTTTGCATCAGGCCAAATTATACCCCTCCCTGTCTCACTGTGGTTCTCTTTACGGAACAAAGGTCGCAGAAGTCCAGAATGACAGGCCGAGAGAGAAGCAAGAGGCACTAGCTCCAGGTTCTGTCCAAGCCAGAGTTCATGTAGCCGGGGGAGCAGAGTGAGGCAAAGCTGGGTCAGCCCTCCAGTGACCCCGCCAGGTCCTGCATGTGCATGGGGCCCTGTGTCGGCCAGTGCACCTCAGCACTTCTTCCTGCACCCAGGAAAGCATCTGTCCTGTCCTCGTCATTCCTGACCCTCTTCTCACCGGTCCGCACCTGAGTCCTGGCGACAGACCGGCAAAATAGACAAAGAAACCAGGCTGCCTGTCCATGACTGAGTTACAACTGAAGAAGAAGATAAAAGGTTCAACCAAGACTAGACTCTTCCACCCTGGCCTTGGAGGGGAAGTTTTGTGGCTTGTGGCCAGGAGAGTGCTTGTCCCTGAAATGCCAACAGGGCCACGCGTCTCCAGGCACCGCGGTCCTGCTGCAGATGCCTGGGCTGGCAGGCCCCTCCCTCCGCATCCTAGGCGCGGGTCGCTGAGCCCAGTCCTCACTGCTGGGGATGCGGAGCCCCTCTCCTGCTGTGCGCCCTGCCAGCCTTGGTGTTTCTGTAAGCTCGGTGTCGTTTTTTGCATGTTGCAGCCATCGTCTCCCTAACACCTCCGCCAGAGGCGCTGCAGGCTCGTTCCGACAGGTCTGGAGCAGGGCACTTAGAAGCACAGTCTGGGTGAAATGTGCCCGAATGTCTTCTCAGCTATTTTCCCTTCGGATTTTTCCATATGTAATAATGGACAGTTTAATTTGATGATGTACACAGCCCCACCCACGCTCCAGGATGCACTTATTTTTAGATTCACGCACATCCATGACATTAAAATCTCCTTGGTGAAACCCTCCCTTCCAGAGTTGAAATCTTTTCTCTTTTTTTTTCTTTTATTGAGTTTATTGATACCTTTTAGGTATACAGTACAATTACATTAATTATTGGGATCTTGTACCTTCACATGACAGGTCTTGGTTCTCATTTTTTCCCCTTGTCCCTGCCCTCCCTTCACCCCCTCCTCTCTCCCCATTTACAAACACTTTATTTCCATTTTTTCATTTTGTCATATTTTTTTTCCCTTATTCCCTTTCCCCTACCCTTCCCATTTTCCCTACACCTTTAGCCCTTTTCTTCCTATTTCACATGGTCAATTATCTCATTAGGGTCTTATGTACTATTATAACTTTTCACACCAGAGAATCTATTCAGTAGTTACACATGTGTGACTTATTTATTTCACTTAGGAGTATATCCTCAATATGTATCCATTTTCCTATGAATGAATCTAATTTCTCATTCTTTATGGCTGAGTAGTTTTCCATTTTATAGAAAAACCACACCTTCTTTATCCAGTTTCCAACTGATGGGCAGATGGGCTGTTTCCAAGTTTTAGCTATTACAAACTGTGCTGCTATAAACATGGGTGCGCATACATCACTGTGGTATGATTCCTTTAGTTCTTTTGGAAAGACACCCAGCAGAGGGGTGGCGGGGTCAAACAGAACCCCTAGTCCCAGCTCTCTGAGCTGTCTCCATACCGACCTCCACAGTGGCTGCACCAGTCTGCACGCCCACCACCTTTTCTCTTTTTTGGTGGACTGCAAGCAGTCATGAGATGTTTGGTGAATTTTCACAGGGCGCTGTCCCTCACTGCGGCAGCGGCCCAGACTGAGTTTAAGGTCAGAGCGGCAGTTCTTCCATCAGCTCTCGTCTCAGGTCCTCCTGACCTTGGTATCTCCGGGCAGCAACCAGGCTCGGCCGTCACCATCTCTTGGGAAACTGTGCTCCGCAGCTAGGACCCCGAGCGGTCTAGCTTTCTATTCTCCACAACAGCTGTGAAGGCTGCTGTCCTCTCTGTGCCCTACGAAGCACCCGGAAGCCCTCTGTGTGGCTCTGGAGTGCTTTGCAATACCCACCTTCAAGTCAAGGGACCCCCAGAATGCCCACGAAGTTGGTGCGAACATAGCTGCCTGCACGCAAGCCGGTTAACAGTGCAGCCTGGCAGGGTCCTGAGCAGCAAAACAGGGCCAGGTGCGGACCGACGCTCCCATCCCCATCAGGCTCGCTGGGCAGAAGGTGGCTGGGCTGCCGTCCTTCAGGGGGACCAGCCAGCGAGGGGCTCTGTGCTCTTTATGGACTGTGGATGCGATTGTGCAGCTACTGTGTCCACACACACACACTCAGAAGACTGCAGATCCGTGAGAGAGTGGGACCCTGCTGCAGGGCCAGCTGCCCCAGCGGGTGTGCATTTTGGAGCCTTCATGCTGTGTGTTTGTGCGGTTGGGTGATGACTCAAACATCAGAAACTCTCAATGGGCATCGTCCGTGGACAGCCTTGATGAGCCCTTTCTGCCTCTGAGCATCGCCTGTCTCATCTGTAAGATGGTGGGGCCAAACTATGGCTGGCAGAAGAGCTTGGGGTGGGTTCCTAAGACAGGGCTGAGATGTGAGGGACCTGCCGGGCCTCTTTCCCCAGGACACCGATGGCTCAGTTTCTCAATGCTAAGTGCTTTGCCCTTTACAGGTTCTGCTTCCTTACCCCTCGTATGAACCCAGTGAAACATCATTTCCCAACTAGGAAACAATGGGCCCCCAGAGAAAGGGAGTAGCTTAGCACGGTGCTTCCACTGTTTGTAGCATGTGATGCCCACATGGGGCCAGAAAAGCCAGCAGGTGGTGTAAATAAGGCACCCTAACAGAAGTTTAATTTCATTGAGCAACTTCTTCCACTTTTTCCCCAGAAAAGCTTTCTAATGACTTTCATTCGAGATTTACCATGAGAACAAAGTGTCCTTTTAAGCCAGACCAACTTGCAGCTTAAACTTCCTTCTGGCTTCATGCAGACAACTTTGTGTGTGCACAGCAAGGACCCTGCCCCCTCCCTCAGCAACCACAGAGTCAAAGGCCACAATCCCGGGTCTGCTGGGGACACAGGGAAGCAAAGATAGAAAGTGAGGCTGCTTTTCTGGAATGGCCTTAGGCTTGCTACGGACTTGCCCTAGCTTTGCTTTGCCTTCTAGTCCCTTGAATACAGCTCTTCTTATAGAGGCCTGAAGGACTCCTTACAGCCTTTCCAGTGCATCTGAATGAGAGGGTCTGGCCCTCCCTGTGTGGCCACCTAACTGCTTTTTTTGAGGGGGGGGACATGAAAAACCTATACCTCATTTCTCTGCAATACCTTTTAGGGATGCACTGTCCCCGATGCCTCAGAGCGAGCCCCTTCAGGATTTTAAAAGTGCAATTCCATCCTCATAGAACACTAAAGCAGGGTGGGGGGCTTGTGTTACTCACTCTAAGAGCTCTCAGGCTGCTCAGAAACTCCCAAAAGGTTCCCAGATGGTGAGTCCAAGTTCCTGCACACAGCTGAATACAAACCTAGAAGTGGTTAAATGTAGTTGAAATTGTTTCAGGGAGCTTGATTACCTTCATGAAGATAGAATGTAGATTAAGATAGATATTAATACACCGAGAATCCACGTTCTGATTTCAGGGTAATCGCTATAAGAACAGAAATAGAGAAATATGCAACTTCCAAACTAAAAGGAAAGGACAACTGATTGGTAAAATTTCTCCAACTCTCCCCAGTCCTTCTCCCTGCCTAATCTCCGAGGCTCTGATAAACTATGGCTCCACTCTCTACATCCACAAAATCAACGTTTGTAGATTCCGCACATGAGTGAGATCATGTGGCACCCCCCTTCCTGTGCCTGGCTGACATAAGGTCCTCTGGATTCATATGTCACTCCAGATGACAAGGTTCCATCTGTCCTTGATATAGGGGGAATAAATGTAGACCCAACCTGCTAGGTGTCAGATACACCAAGTCCATGTTCCTCAGAATCAAAGAATAAATTCTAAGAAATAACAGAGGTCAAGAGTTAAGAGGTTAAGAGATAAATTGCTCCTGAGAAACAGGAGAAAGTGGATCACTGTGGACCCCACTCCACAGAGAAAGTTTTATAGCACAAAATCACAAGGTAGGTACAGAATCACGGGGTGGATTAAAACCACCACGATCAATAAAATTTAAGTGTAGCCACTTAGGTGATATTGACCCACTGTGGAAGCAGGTCACACAGCAAGTACACATGGGAAAAACAAAGACTTCTTTTTAGGAAGAAATGGATTACAAGGGCTTGGTCACGCACCCAGGTGACTAAGGTCAATCTAGACTTCATTGGACCAGATGACGCCAATTACCTTATCCCCTGGAGAGGCGCATAGGCCTGGTCATTCCATCTTTATCTTGAGGCCTGGCCTCTGACAGATGCATCTCCAGCCACAGTTGTAATGTGCTCTCATCCTCTGCATCCTCGTGGCTCCCTCCAGGGCCCAACCCTGCCTGATATTTCCACCTCACTTAGCTGCCTGTGACACCCTCACAGCTGAGCGTACCTCACGGACGCACACACCACCACTCATCTGCTGCTGGGCACATCGGTCATTCCATATCTTGCTACTGTGAACATTGCTGTGCGGAACACAGGAATGCAGGCTATTTCTCAGAATGTTGTGCAATTATTATATACCCATCAAAACCTTCCAAAAAAGTCACTCAAACAATCCAAAAGAAGACAAGAAAGTAGCAGGAAAATAGAACACTTGAAAATACATAGGAAGATGGTAGATTTTTATCCAAATATATCAATAATTATAACAAATGCAAAAAAAGATTAACTGTTCCAGTTAATAATCTAGGATTGTCAAACCAAATTTGTTTTTAAAGAAACAACCAGCTATTGTTTATAAAAGACATGCTCAAAACATAAGGATACAGAAAGTTTGAAAATAAAAGATGGACTAAGGTAATTCATAGAAATAGTTAACTAAAAGAAAGCTGATAAAGCTATATTAATAAAAACTAAACAGAGTTGAAAGTATAAAGCATCAGTAGAGTTAAATAGAAACATTCCACTAATGTTTTCATGTAGTAACACAAAATAATTCTAAATGTCTATGCGTTATTAAAACAGCCTCAAAACATGATTTTAAAAGTTGTCAGAAGGATAAGAAAAAAATTCTTAAAATAGGAAAATCTACATCCCATTGGAGAATTTGATCACACTTAATCCCAGGAAATAAAGCAGACAAAATTAGGACTGGTTTGGATAATTTGAACATGGATAACACAGGAAGCAAGCTTACCCTACCACCCAGAATGGATTATTTTTAAGCACATATGAAGCATTTACAACAGTTTACCATATGTCCACCCATAAAAGAAGCTTCAAAACTTTCACAAGTTTAAATTCATGCAGTCAGGCTCTTCTGATCCCAATATAAGCTCCAACTCCAAAGCAGGAAGGAAATTAGAAAATTCCCAGAGATTGGAAAGCAGGAAATACATTTCCAAATAATTTTCTCAAAGAAGAAATCACACAAATATTAGAAGACAATGTTAATGGAGGTTAATGAAAGGATTATAATATCAAAATGTGCTTGTCTTCATTTCTCAGCCTTTTGGCTAAGATCGAGTGTAAAATTTGTGTGATACAGATAAAACAGGGAAAAGAAGAGATTAAAAATCAGTAACGAGAGTACACATTTTTTGATAAATTAAATAAACTTCAGAAATGATAAAAGATTTCTGCAGCTTAAGGAAATTTCTTAAACCTCTGAAATTTATTTAGAAAAAACACTGCACTTAATGATGAAACTTTGCTCCCTTTGAAATAAAGAATGACTGAAGAAGGCCTTCATCTTCATTTTAAATCAGTCCTGTACTGTCGGAAAATAGAGTGAAGACAGGGAGGAAAATTAGATAACAGGATGTGAATATATAATGAATGATAGAAAGATATTTATGGAGAGAGAGAGGGAGAGAATTAATTAGTAGAAGTCAG